GTCCGTTGCCTGCCGGCAGCGTCCCCCCTTGAAACACGGGCAGGCCTCCTCCGCCCTTGTCTCGGCGTACACCGTGGGCCGCCTCGACAAGGCGTCCGCGTTTGCATGCGTCCGGCCAGCCCGATACTCGATTTGCAGGTTGTACTCCTGCAACTGCGCCAACCAACGGGCCATCTGCCCCCGCGGCTCCTTGAATGTAAGAAGGAACTGAAGAGCATAATGGTCAGTGCGTACGCGACATCTCCTGCCGTACAAATACGGCCGGAACTGCTTACATGCGAAAATCACGGCGTACAACTCTTGGCGGGTCACGCAATAGTTCAGCTCGGCCCCACTCAAGGTCCGGCTGGCGTACGCGATGACTCATTCTGTCCCATCCTGTACCTGTGACAACACCGCGCCCAGCCCGCTGCTGCAGGCGTCGGTGTCCAAAATAAAATCAGTGGTAAAATCGGGGAAAGCGAGGGTGGGAGCGTGGGTGAGGTGGTCTTTGAGAGTGGTGAAGGCCGTCTGGCAGGCCCCCGTCCACTGATAGGGGTGCTTAGGGGAGGTGAGTTGGGTGAGGGGGCGTGCAATCTCGCTGAATCCCTTTACAAATCGACGATAATAGGTGGCGAGCCCCAAAAATGATCTGATCTCCGTCAGATTCCTTGGCCGTGGCCACTCCACTACGGCGCGTACCTTCTCCGGATCGGTGCGCACGCCTGCCTCGCTGACGCGATGCCCGAGGTACCCCACCTCGCGTTGTGCGATGTAACACTTACGTGGCTTGAGCTTGAGATGAGCCGCTCGCAGTCGCTGGAACACCTCTCGTAGCCTGGACCAATGCTCAGACAAAGATCTACTGAACACGATCACATCGTCCAAGTAAATCAGGCACTGTTCCCATTGCAAACCCCGCATCACCAACTCCATCAGCCGCTGGAACGTCGCGGGTGCATTGGTGAGTCCGAACGGGAGTACTCGAAACTCGAATCGGGGTGGTGAATGCGGTTTTCGGCCGATCCTCCTCCGCCATCTCCACCTGCCAGTACCCGGACGCGAGATCGAGGGTGGAAAAATATCGCGCTCCGGCGAGGCTGTCAAAAGTGTCGTCGATGCGGGGTATGGGGAAGGCGTCGCCGAGCGTGACTGCGTTTAGTTTACGATAATCGACGCAGAACCGGGTTGACCCATCCTTTTTCGTTACTAGTACCACCGGGGCTGACCAGGGGCTCGCCGAGGGCTGAATTATGTTATCGCGAAGCATGTCCGCAACCGCCTCTTTGATCTGGGTGCGTTCGGGTGCGCCCACTCGGTACGCAGGGAGTTTGATGGGTCGGGTTGCACCGGTGTCAATTTGGTGCTTAACAAGGTCGGTCAGACCCACGTCCGAGTCGTGTTCGCTGAACACGTCGGCATACTCCCGCAGTAACTCGCGCAGCCGATCGGCCTCTCCCTTAGGTAAGTCCGCCCATGGTACATGTAACGCGTCGAGCAGGGGAACGACCTCGGCTCGGGGAGTCGGGCCGACTCGCCAGGCCAGGTCCTACTCACCCTCAGGACGACCGGGGTCCTCAGCCCAGAGTGCGAACACCGAGTCGTTAGAGTGGTGTGCGTGCAGGGGGTGTACTGTGGCTATCGGGGTGCGCTGTCGCAGTATCGCTGGGGTATGGTGGGGGTTAAACATCCGCATAAACAATCGGTCCCCATCTGCGTTTACCAACGTGGCGGATCCCACAACCCCATACCGTTTTGCCAACTCCGGGTGAGGAGTTAGCATTACCTCCCCTGATGGTCGGAGCGCGGGGTCGGTGGGGGATGTTTCCACTGGCACCAGCATCTCGGTGAGCGGGCCGATGGTGACTGCCGTCGCCAGGATAGCGGCCACAGGTGCAAAGCGGAGGCGCGTTGGTTCTCGTCCCAGGAACGGTATCCGCTCGCCGTTGCTCTCCATGGTGGCGCATCGCTGGCGGGGTTGCACGTTGAGTCCCAACCGTTCTAGGAGGTCGGTGCCTGCGATACACTCGTGACACAACGCACTCGACACGTAGAACTCCTGGGTGCACACCTGGCTGCCTATGCGGACCTCTAGGGTGGCTTTCCCCAGCAGCCCCATTCCGGCTCCGCTCGCAGTGTGCAGCGCGCGGTCCGGGGCCTGCAGGTGACGCACGTCGACCCCGATCGCGCTGCAGTGCGCTGCGCTCACGAGCGAGGCCACCGCCCCCGTGTCCAGCAGGATTCGGGTACGCACTCCGTTAACCTCCCCTTCCACCAGCGACGTGGCCCCCGTGATCCCCGCCACCAGCTCCCGTAGCCAGTCGCCAGGAGTCACCGTTTCCGTGGGCGTTGTTGCTGGAATCTGTGTGGAGATCACTCGCTCGCCATTATTCTCATTATCGTCTATTCGTATCGGGACCGCGTCGATTGCACCCCTAGTTGGTCCGCTTTCTAGGGGGCGTTGGAGTTTAACCCCCGCATCTGCCTAGCTCGGGTGATTTCAGGACAGTCTCTCACTAAATGCCCTCGGCGATCGCACATATAACATGCCCGGGGAGGGGGGGCAGCTCCATAGTGGGCCCCCTGCCCACTCCCTCCCCCCCCATTACGCCGCTGTCCACCCTCCGCCTCTAGTCGGGCTACCCTTCCAGATAACCCCCCTACCGTGGCGCATAGGTCCCCCATCTCGGATCGGATGGTCTCAACGGAGGATTGCAGTTTGGTCATATTTTTATTCGTTTCCTCGCGTGCTTGGGTTATCATATCTCCCACCCCGGCCTGTAACCCGGCTACCCACCCCGGGGTGGTCTCGCTGGGTCTCTGGGGCTCCCTTGCCCGTTCCCTTCCTGCGATGGCGAGCTCCTCCTCCTCGTCCGAGAGTAGGCTCGCTACGGCGCACTCTCGTCCCCTCCCTCGAGGCTGCGCGCGCTCACCAGAGAGCTTCTCGTATTTACGCGCGCGCTCGACAAGTGCGTTAAAGGAGAGGCGTGCACCGTCTATATTTGGCTGCCACCACGGGGTGCGTGCCAAATATCGCTGGACCTTCCCGGCGGCGAGGCTCTCAATTACTTTCGCCTCGTGCTCCGGGTACGCGAGCTGGGTCAACATGCGTACGTCCTCGGCGTAATCTCGCAGATCCTCGCCGGGCTGACGGCGGCGTGCCTCTAAGGCCGCCTGCGCCTCCTCCTTGTCATAGGCGCCGAAGCGCCGTTCGAGTTCGCACATTAATTTTTCCCACTGAGTTTGTGCGCTTGCGGGCAAAGCTTCCACAAAGTCAGCTGCTCGCCCATCTAAATGTATCTCTAACTGCTGCAACGCCTCCTCATCCGACCACCCATTAACCTTTTTAGCCCCCCTGATGCTGCGGGCAAACGATTTCCATGATGGAATTCCTTTGCCCGTAAATGTGCATTTGATTTTAACCTGGGTTGGGGGGCCTCTTTCCCTTGGGGGTGCGGGGGATCGTCCCACTTCTGACACCAATATGTGGGGGTCGCTAGCCCCCGAGATCCCTTCCTCAATAATGCTAACGGCCGGGCTAACATCATCGATCGCCCCCCCGCTGCTAAGCGAACCGCTGCTAGGTTCCTCACCCATGGTGTGGGAGCCGTCGCCCGAGGATTCCCCTCCACCGCGGGTCCGCGTAGTAGGCATGGTTAGATACCGCGTAGTATTATGTCCCCTTTACGCTACCACGATACCTCCCTTTCCTAATCGCGTACCTGCGACCCACACGGAGCGAACGTACGCACACACACACACACCGCTTCGTGCACTCCAACTCCACACGGACTACTCAAGTTACGATCGCGCACCTGTATCACACACAGAGTGAGCACACACGACACCCACTCTCGCACCGCTCTGCGCAGCGCTCCCCCGAGACGAGCCGCAGCACTACAGAATCACTGCGTACACACGCGCACCCACACACTCACACTGCACGACAAGATCACGCGAGACCACGCTTCGCTATTAATGATTTATTATTTGCTACCTGTGAATTGATGTTGAATCAGTGAGTCGACGAGGCTGGCCTATTCCACCCAAACCTGTACCTATTCCCTATTTATCGGCTTACGCTACCCTACTTCACCTCCCCACTCACTGTTTGGTGCCTGCGGAGGTTCGCTGCTCTCTGCGCTAACAGCGCACCTCGATGCGTCGCACGGACGTCCGGGTCGCTGGCTGGAGCTGCTGCTGGTCCGCTGGCCTGGAGAGAAGAGAGCGATTTCCCCTTTGCGCTCCCTATTTATCCTCCCTACCTCAAAGGGATCCGGCTCTGAACAATGGGCTCGCGATCCTCTGGCACGCGCACGGCGGTTCCGGGCGCTGTTGATATGCTAATCAGTGTGCGGCGTGCAAGGCGTAAATCCTAATTAATCCCTTACCCTTCCTAACAATGGGGCCTGCGCGCTCAAGCGTAATGATCCCAACCCTCCATGACTATCCGCCAGAGCCCATGCGGTCCCGCTATTCATGCTGTCCCCTCCCTCCTCCGCCTGTCTCGTCGACCCGTGGGGGTGTGTGTGGGGGGAAAATGCGCCTCAACCGCGGTGGCCGAATGCCCCATGCCGCGACCACACCATATTAAGGCTGGTCGCAGCGCCGCGGCGCAACGTAGCACGAGGGAGGTCGTCCAATTCCCTGATCGCCGGAAACCGTGAGAGTTAACCCCGATAAAGGGTTCTCGGATAAAAACCGGTCGGCCAGGTGACCTCCCCGTCCAGCTCTATGGGTGGGGGAAAATGCGTGCGGGTGTGTTCGTGTGAGGTGAGGTGAGGGGGACGCGGGGTTGGCTCCGTTGCTTGGTGGTGGCGAGGTCGGGGATTTGGGCGCCTGCCGAACGGCTTCGTGGCGGCGGCATCACACTTACCCCGAGCTCTCAATACTCTGATAGTGCGCTGTTTTTGAGTTGTACACCTTTTGGCGTCATCTGGTCCAACACCCATGGAGACTAGGCTCTAAGAAAAACTCTCTCGGGTGTGGACCAATCAAATTCAAGGACAGTGCATATCATCATCATTATCAGAGTTGTTTATTTTTGTTTGCATTTTGACTGCTTGTGTTGTGGTTATTGGAAACATGATACCTTGTATAAAGGTGTCAGTTTTGTACCAGTTGAAAGGGTAAAAAACCTATTACTAGGTGTTAAGATGTTAAAACACCAAAGTGAAACCTTTTACAAAAAATTATGTCTGCATTAACCACAATACTTGTGGTCAGAATGCAAACAAAAAACATACTCTGATATATGCATTGTCCTTGAAACTGATTGGTCCACACCAGACAGCTTTCGTTTGGAACCTCGTCTCAAACGGTGTTTGACCAGAGGACGCCAAAAGGCGTCTTAATATCGGAGGGGGGAGCGTTCCAGACGGCCCCATAAGTGCATCTAAAAGCGCCACGCAATGCAGTAAAAAAGACAAAGCACACAAAGCAGTAAGGATGTCCCGATGTCAATCAGTATCCCAGCACAGCATTCGGCACTACACTTCTTACACAGCTATACAATGAATCGTATAAAAGGAACAACCCCACCTGACCAATGCGAATGCACGCAATATACACTCGTGATTTAGGGATCACAGAAGCAGCAGCAGCGACATCGCTCCCGATAGCGGAAAAAAAACCTTTCCATTAAAAAAGTCAAGACTCCTGGGGTGTATAGCAGTCATAGAAATGACAGTAAGTAATCAGCTATAATTTCTAAGAATAAATGTTGCTGTAATGTTGAATATTTTAACTCGAGTCTCAAGTAACATAACGTTCACCTGAAAACTCCACCCACTCTGAATCCACATCCTTCGCAAACCAATTGGCTGTTGAACTTGGTTTTTATTATTACGATATTTTGGTGTTTCTTACGACGATGTTAGTTGCAGCGTACGTCCTTAATCACCTTTTTGTACCTTACTTCTAGTGTTGATGGTAATGTTGTATATGTTGTATTATCAATCGGGATAATACAATTATTCTCACTTTAACATTTACTGATTACGTCTTAATGTGTTTATGACAGGTCTCCAAATTCAAATCTCACCGCAGGATACAGTTCTTATAATTAAGATTATTATGCATGAACTCAGGAGTTAAGCTATTTTAATTTCTAAACAAAAACATAACACTCTAATATGCAAACTCTTATGCTTGGAATTGTCAACACAGTACCACTGGGGATGTTCTCCTCATTGATCCGTACATTTAATCCTCCGTTGTTAACCTGGGTAACCTAACAATTTATTAATTCCTCAGAGTAACGCGAGCATATACGGCGATAGGAAAAAGTCCTTAAACGTGCATGTGACGATATTCATACGAACGGCAAATAATAGTTTTTTTTATTATATCCCGAAGGCAAAAGTATAAGTCAATAGATTCATCAGCAAGATTATATTAACGAAATGTCTTGAAACAATGGTGTGCGGCAATATGCCTGCTTCCACAGATGCATTTCTTTTGGCTAAGGCTTCAATTAATCCGTGGGCAAGATTCTGTGATCAAAAGAAAGGTTTAACACAATATTCTCCCTGTGGGCGTGTAGATTCGTAGCGAAGGTTTCAAACATTGAGTTTACATCGATTAATCCTCTGGGCCGCCGTTCCTCACTCTTGTCTTCGTTTCCAGCTAGTGCTGGCGCTGACACTCTTGCTCACGGGCGGCTGGTCAGGCTCTTTCCCCTGCTGGATGAGCCGAGTTGGCACGATGCTTATCTTTGAAGGTGCTCGTAGTGCTCGCCGCTTGTCCACTGGCAGCTGACACCCTTGCTCGATAACACGGCTGGCGCTGCTGCGCGCTCTCTGGCGATGCGCGATTGCAGCTTGTCTTCTGCTGCTGGTCTTGTGCGATGCTCGCTTGGTCGATGCTTGGCAATTTCTGCCCTTTCTCCAGGTTGATTGCTTGTCGTTGCTCGTCACTCTCTCTCCTTTATTGTGCAGCTGGTGGCTTCACACGGACACCTGCCCTTACTCCAGGGCTGCGTTGGCTCAGGCTCTTTCCACTGCTCTCCGTTCTCTCTGGCGATGCACGATTGCGCTTGCAGCTTGTCCTCTGCTGCTGGTTCTGTGCGATGCTCGCTTGGTCGATGCTTGGCTCTTTCCGCCCTTTCTCGAGGTTGATTGCTTGACGTTGCTCGTCAGTTCAACTCGAGCTGTAGCAGCCCGTGGGAGCTGGCACTCACTCTCAAAACTTGTAATTTGTATTCGCACACCTCTTAAACAACTGTGAAAGCTTAGTACAATACAACTTATCGCAATTCTTGACTTTGCAAGCGACTCAATACATCAGGATGAATGTAGAATAAAACTTTCAGCGATACTCTGTCAGTCCATGCCGAACTCAGGATTTTGGAGATCTTTTTTCTCCAAAAAAATCCTGATTAAACACAAGATCCAGGTCTGATTCAACACAGTACATAAAATCTGTGATCTGGTCCCGTCTGTAAAATATGTAGTTCCAGACATACAGTACCCTGGCGTCTACAAACTAAGTTGCCTCTGTGGTAGCAGTTACATTGGGGAAACCAAACGACATGTCTCGGACCGCATCCGTGAACATAAAGCAGACCTGAAACACGGTAGGACAAACACCTCAGCCGTGGCAGATCACTGTTACAACTCAATGGGCTCACATGACATTGACTTCTCCAAGACAGAGGTTCTCTGCAAGCCATCTGGCTATCATGAGAGATTCGTTCATGAGGCGATCCACATATACAACCACAGAGACAATTTCAACCGAGAAGATGGATTCTGGCTTAGCAATCATTGGAAGGACGTAATAAACCATTTCGGATCTTAACTGATTGTGTTCACATTTACCGTGACTTTCAGACCGCGTTCCACTCACTGGCATTGTATTCTCCGCAGGGAATGGATCCTTTGCTCCACTGCAAGTTTTCCCCCACGACTCGCCCATTGACACGACAGTCAATGTTACAGTGTATAATAACAAATAGTATAACATTTATATGCTTAATACAATGTACAAAGTAATATATAGTATCGTAATTGTATAGTAAACATATAGCAGTGTGATACACATTAGGGTGGGTAGAATAATAGTGTTATATTAAAATGTATAAGGTATAGGGTGGTTTATAGCAATACAGTATATAATTTAATGTTGGGTTTGTCTATGGCAGTATATAGTACGGTGTATGCTCGTGTGATGTAAGAGAATAAAGTTTACATGGGAGCATATTATATAATTTTTACGACGTAGAATTGTAATGTATTACTTGCTGTTAGTAACTCAGCTTATTATAGCGTATAGTAAGTATACTGATGATGCTATGCAGTTTATACTTTAGTTTTTTATGTAGTTTATACTTTAGTTTTCTACGTTGTTGTTTAGTAACTGCAGCTACATACTATTAACATTCCTTTCCTTTGTTAATGCTACTCCCTGCACCCTCCCTTGGTGCTGCTGATCCTGCATAATGCATGGGCATAATATGACTTTGAAACCCCCCCGCCCACCTCCTACGCATTTCCCATGAATATGCTAAATTCCTCTTGATATGCACACTCTTTTTGTTAAGGCGCTCTTCTTCCACCTCCAACCCAGCTTATATATAAGTTCCTAGCTTGGCAGTGTCTCATTCTTCACCTGAAGACGGCTGCTTGCGTTGTAGCCGAAACGTCGTGACAATTATTTTATTTTATGTTTTATTTTTATTATTTTATTACTTCCCTTCTACGTGACTTTACCGAAAGAACCAAGAAGATGAATCCCTGCAGTCACGAAAGCTTTAAATCGAAATTTATTTAAAAATTAATCGTGGCGCTTAGTACTCTGCATTGTGTTGAGGGGGCCTTTTGAAGTTGTGATGAGATCTCCCCAGAATCTCATTAGATAATTCCCCCTCTCTTTCCTTTGTACCAAGGTGTTTTTTTTAATTACCTTTTATGGTTTATCTCCAGCTGCCTGGCCGGTGTGTGAGGGCAGCTGGTTCTCTCACCCTTTCATGTCCCCTGCTTACCCCGATCAATTAAAAATATATATTGGCAGAATTATTCTTAATATAATTTTTTGGAAAAAGGCCTATATATACAACAGTAACCCGATATGTAACCTTGCTTGCTCGCGTTACCTTCTCCATTTTGAACTTGTGCGGCCACTGTAACCAGATTGGCCGAGTCATAACCTCAACTGGTAACGCTGCATGCCCCACGGTATCCACATCGCTCTCCTAGAGGGGATGACAAAAATACGTGAGGGTGAACCACAGACCAGCGGCCAGACAGCAAGCGGGTGCCAAATTCCCTCCCATGCTCTATGGTCCTCTAGATATTAAGGTATTTTCAGACAATCGATGAATGTTGCATGGATTGGCTGAAACCTGAGCATCCAGAGAAAATATTACGCAAATGGAAAAGAGGCGAGTCCACATTTTTTATGTACTGTACCACCTCCTTATCCTTGACGCCCACCGATGGATAAAAAGGAGTTTTGCAGTGTTCCCGTGATTCACCTGGCCCAATGCAGGCTCAAAATTTACCTGGTCAAATACATTTTGACTTAAAACTTTCGTGACTGCAGGAATTCATATTATTGGTTCTTTCAGTAAAGTTACCTAGATAGAAAATAAAATAACAATATTTAATAAAAAATACATTTAAAATAATAAAAGCAAAAGCGGTCTTCGTCAGGCGGATGATGAAGACTGCATTTGTTACGATCGAAACGTCGTGGGTTTTTTGCTTTAATTATTTTCAATGTATTTCTAGTTTTATTTTATTACTTATATTTTCTATCTCCGTGACTTTACCGAAAGAACCAAGAATATGCTATGGGGACCTCATTTGCCAGTAAAAATATGATAATTGGTTCTTTACCCTTCTATCTGGCAACAAAACTGACACCTTTTTGCAAGGAGTCATGTTTGCATAGACCGCAATACCTGCAGTCATAATACAAACAAAAGAACATAACTCTGATAATGTGCACTGTCCTTGAAGTTGATTGGTCCACACCCGAGACAGCTTTCCTTCGAGCCTAGTCTCATATGGGTTGGACCAGATGACGCCAAAAGGCGCACAACTCAAGGACAATGCACCATCAGAGTATGAGAGCTCGGGGCAAGCATCTACACTATGGGGACCTCATTTGCCAGTAAAAATATGATAATTGGTTCTTTACCCTTCTATCTGGCAACAAAACTGACACCTTTTTGCAAGGAGTCATGTTTGCATAGACCGCAATACCTGCAGTCATAATACAAACAAAAGAACATAACTCTGATAATGTGCACTGTCCTTGAAGTTGATTGGTCCACACCCGAGACAGCTTTCCTTCGAGCCTAGTCTCATATGGGTTGGACCAGATGACGCCAAAAGGCGCACAACTCAAGGACAATGCACCATCAGAGTATGAGAGCTCGGGGCAAGCATCTACACTATGGGGACCTCATTTGCCAGTAAAAATATGATAATTGGTTCTTTACCCTTCTATCTGGCAACAAAACTGACACCTTTTTGCAAGGAGTCATGTTTGCATAGACCGCAATACCTGCAGTCATAATACAAACAAAAGAACATAACTCTGATAATGTGCACTGTCCTTGAAATTGATTGGTCCACACCCGAGACAGCTTTCCTTCGAGCCTAGTCTCATATGGGTTGGACCAGATGACGCCAAAAGGCGCACAACTCAAGGACATGACTCCTTGCAAAAAGGTGTCAGTTTTGTTGCCAGATAGAAGGGTAAAGAACCAATTATCATATTTTTACTGGCAAATGAGGTCCCCATAGTGTAGATGCTTGCCCCGAGCTCTCATACTCTGATGGTGCATTGTCCTTGAGTTGTGCGCCTTTTGGCGTCATCTGGTCCAACCCATATGAGACTAGGCTCGAAGGAAAGCTGTCTCGGGTGTGGACCAATCAACTTCAAGGACAGTGCACATTATCAGAGTTATGTTCTTTTGTTTGTATTATGACTGCAGGTATTGCGGTCTATGCAAACATGACTCCTTGCAAAAAGGTGTCAGTTTTGTTGCCAGATAGAAGGGTAAAGAACCAATATCATATTTTTACTGGCAAATGAGGTCCCCATAGTGTAGATGCTTGCCCCGAGCTCTCATACTCTGATGGTGCATTGTCCTTGAGTTGTGCGCCTTTTGGCGTCATCTGGTCCAACCCATATGAGACTAGGCTCGAAGGAAAGCTGTCTCGGGTGTGGACCAATCAACTTCAAGGACAGTGCACATTATCAGAGTTATGTTCTTTTGTTTGTATATGACTGCAGGTATTGCGGTCTATGCAAACATGACTCCTTGCTAAAAGGTGTCAGTTTTGTTGCCAGATAGAAGGGTAAAGAACCAATTATCATATTTTTACTGGCAAATGAGGTCCCCATAGTGTAGATGCTTGCCCCGAGCTCTCATACTCTGATGGTGCATTGTCCTTGAGTTGTGCGCCTTTTGGCGTCATCTGGTCCAACCCATATGAGACTAGGCTCGAAGGAAAGCTGTCTCGGGTGTGGACCAATCAACTTCAAGGACAGTGCACATTATCAGAGTTATGTTCTTTTGTTTGTATTATGACTGCAGGTATTGCGGTCTATGCAAACATGACTCCTTGCAAAAAGGTGTCAGTTTTGTTGCCAGATAGAAGGGTAAAGAACCAATTATCATATTTTTACTGGCAAATGAGGTCCCCATAGTGTAGATGCTTGCCCCGAGCTCTCATACTCTGATGGTGCATTGTCCTTGAGTTGTGCGCCTTTTGGCGTCATCTGGTCCAACCCATATGAGACTAGGCTCGAAGGAAAGCTTGTCTCGGGTGTGGACCAATCAACTTCAAGGACAGTGCACATTATCAGAGTTATGTTCTTTTGTTTGTATTATGACTGCAGGTATTGCGGTCTATGCAAACATGACTCCTTGCAAAAAGGTGTCAGTTTTGTTGCCAGATAGAAGGGTAAAGAACCAATTATCATATTTTTACTGGCAAATGAGGTCCCCATAGTGTAGATGCTTGCCCCGAGCTCTCATACTCTGATGGTGCATTGTCCTTGAGTTGTGCGCCTTTTGGCGTCATCTGGTCCAACCCATATGAGACTAGGCTCGAAGGAAAGCTGTCTCGGGTGTGGACCAATCAACTTCAAGGACAGTGCACATTATCAGAGTTATGTTCTTTTGTTTGTATTATGACTGCAGGTATTGCGGTCTATGCAAACATGACTCCTTGCAAAAAGGTGTCAGTTTTGTTGCCAGATAGAAGGGTAAAGAACCAATTATCAACCAAGAATATGGTCAAATAAACTTTAATATCTCCGATTCTGTGAATTGTATGTATGCATGTTGAACCATGCTAATCGGAGGTGTGGGGGAAGGACAACAAACTAAACACACAAAGCGGTTGGCTGCTGCAATGCGGAGCTTCAACTCAATCGGTGGAAGTGGAGAACATCCCATGGGTCGTAGCAGACCGACCTTCGTGCGTTCCTTCGCACGCACCAACAAACATCAGCAGCTCCTGCAACTGCATGGTTCTCTTTGTATGCAGTCACCAGGCATCTGGCACGATGTTTTGTGTCGTGACCTTAAGCCACACGAGCTGAATGGACCCATCCATTTATAGCCCTTCTATTTGAGACCGAAACAGCAGAATTTCTCCACAACTGACGAACTGTCATGGGACTCGAATTGTAAATGTTGTGTGTTTACTCTCCAACATACTGCTTAGTGCTGAATTAGTAACCAATTGTCACGTTTTGTTTACTTAACAATCATTGGCTGTGTCGGGTGGTGGTGGCTGATTTAACGACGCAACATTCATACTTATGCAATCTGACCCCCCAAAAAACATCTGGATATTGGTCGCGAAAGCCTCCGACATGTTAAACTATCCATACGGTGAACCCTGACGGATGAATAGTCGAAACTCGGGCTGATCTTCTGAACACGATACGTTTACTGAATCAGATTTATGTTAAGAGTGGAGGAATCCAATGACATATACAAAGTTCCTTTACACGGATGTCAGGTATTGAGTGTGGACAGATCCATCACAGGGTAAAACCTTGACATAAAAGCATACAAAGTCACTAGATAATTGTACTCATTTGGGACCGAGTCGACCTAGGGGAGGCCCAGGACCGGTTCAATTCACCGTCACTGGTGCTGGCAGTGAGGGGGAAGCGAACTCGGGTCGCCGGTTTCGTAGCGCAGCGTTAACCGCTCCACCACCGCTCCCCTTAGACACACATCAATGCACAGCACAATATACAGCACAACGCACAAGACAACCCATAGCACAACAACATACAGCACAACGCACAGCACAACAACAACAACGCACAACACAACAACCCACAGCACAACCCACAGCACAATAACGTAGAGCACAACGCACAGTACAAACGCTCTGGTCAGGCTTACGTACCCGAGTAGGCCTCAAGTCAGACATGAGCGCTGATTGCACTGCACTTGCACGTGTCGCGTCTCCAGAGACACTGTGATTGTCTCCATGCTGTAAACTATCTGCGAGCTCGCTGCACCTGTAGGCCGCGATCTTAAAATGGCCGACCCCGTGGCACTCCCTGGACACGTGACCAGGAGGGGGCGGGGCCATCTAATTTCTCACTGCCGCGGTGGCGAGGAGATGTTGACGACATCGCCTGGTTCAAGTTCATTTATTAGGTATAGCCCTGTGAGCCATTCGGCTCTTGAATCGGGTGCAACCGCAACAAACAAAAAACAAAAAAACATGAACAAAAAACATCTTAAAGTGAATATGTGCAGGAGGTTGTGGGTTCTATTCCGATCCTGACGATGCCTGCTGTATATGTGTGTGACGAGATGTTGACTACCTCGCCTGGTGTGCAGGAGGTCGTGGGTTCGATTCCGACCCTGACGATGCCTGCTGTATATTTGAGTTTGTGTGTCTCTCTCTCTCCCCGTGGTCGCGTGGCAACAATAATCCCCACCAGACCACACCAAAACAACAACAATCCCAGACCACACCAAAACAGCAACAATCCCAGACCACATCAAGACAACAACAACAGTCCCAGGCTGACCACACCAAGACAACTGCACAGCCCCTCAAGGAAACTGCACGTGACATGTTATAGCCACCCACGCACACGGTTCAAGCTCTCTGTGTTCGCCACCCGACGGTGCTCCTCGCGTGCCATTCAACTGACGTGACTTGTCGGGCCTATGACGTAAACGACTCAACACTTCGCTGCGTCTGTTTAACGTTGGTCATTGTTATCGCAGTCGAGACCACCGATCATTCGGCGGCTTCGGTTCGGGGCCACCGGATTTTTTTTTAAAACGCGGAATAATCACTAATTATCATACTCTTTGGTGCTTTCGGTAAAGTCACGTAGGTATAAAATTAAATAAAATGCTTTCCCACCTGATGATGGACGCTTGTGTTGCGCCTGAAACGTCGTTAATTATTTTATTTGATACCTACGTGACTTTACCGAAAGAACCAAAGAGTATAGATTCCTGCAGTCACGAAATCTTCAAATCAAGATTAATAAATAAGTGACTATTTACAGTACCGTATTTACCACTCTAATCTCGATATTCATTGTTAAAGTTGTATGTAGTGTTTAATGTACTGTATATAATATTTAACACAGATATAAAGCGTAGCTACTTCTTTTTGTCACGCACACGGTGCCGATCGCCGGACTGGGTACAGAATTTGTAGCGGTTTTGACGGTTTCGCCGGATCGGCCCAGGACCGCTGGATAATTATTGATCGCTGGATAATCAATGATAAACTGTATCATATATATGAGCACGAGTTGGCTACACATGGCTACAGATGGTGCAAAAAGAAGCTCAACGTAGTATGTATGTACATATGTATGTACGTTTATGTTGAAGTATACGTCATGATGAAAAAACCGAGACGTAACCCGAAAGTTGGGTGTTAATTTATGATGGACAGACGTGTAAAATAACTATTTAGTTGTAAATTTAAGTTAACATATGCAAGTACTCCTCTACTTATGGACATTTGACGAATGAACTTTCAAACATACCATCACACCTGTCTTTATGTCCAGTTGCCTGTTCGGATCGAGAGTCATAATTTCCACCGCTGCGCATTAGATGCGGTAGTGGCATCTACTACTGCAGAACACGAAGAATCAGTGGCATCGACATCTACAGGAGATTACACAACTTTTAAAGCCGTTCCTCGTGTTTCGTGTACATGCTGTACAACATGTTTGGAATCGATATGAGTAAAGTTGGACTTACGAAGAAATCGGCTTACAAACAAACCTCTGGAAACTCACTCATTCGTAAGTAGATGAGACCCTGTATTGGGGTTACACCCTGTACAGGCATCGATGGACAGAAGGCGGCCAAGTCACATCGGGATAAACGTCTCAAGGACAAGTGGCGATGGGAGTTGCTGAAAAGGTTGGTTGTTGATACACAAGGAAATATAACGGGGTGGCCATTACTCAAGGGGGGTAAATTAAAATAAAAACTAAACTCGATAATAGGGGTTTTTGGGTTTGATCGCGTAAAACTAAACTACATACGACTCTCGATTATCCGCGCTAATGACGGGGAGGACAGCCACGGTGAATTAAAAATCGAGGATTAAAAAAAATCAATTTTCCACAGATCTGTATGCCTGAAACCACTCATATAGGTATAAATTATGTTCAAGTTAAGAAAATTTTGTTTGTTAATGAATTTAAAAAATAGTAAACAATCGACTGATCAATGTACGTGCTCAGTGATAATATGACTTTCCTGCCCAGCAGAATACTCGACCTATTAAGTGGACAGAAGAGCCACAGCCAATCAAAATGTATCAAACTCCGCCCACAGTTGTAAAGATATGGCAACTACTGCACTGTAAGAGGCGATCAAATGGATTTTGCATTAACCGGAGCTACATATACATAGATGTGTAGTGGCATGGCGCTGGCTGCTGGCAGAAAAGAGGATATGCGGTGTATGGCAGTCCTGACGTCAGCAGGCCAGGATATACACGAGAGGGAGATCTAGGGGAAAGGTCACAGAAGGGGCCCACCAGGAGCCCGCTAGTAGGATCCAGAAAGGGGGCGTGGCCGGGACAGAGTGAGGCCACACTGATAGTATAAGAGGGGCTCCTGTGGGGGACCTCAGGGCTGTTGGAGTGGATCCCCGTCGTGCTATTGAAGTCCATCGTCGCCATTCTTCTCATCGTCTTCACCATTATCTTCGTTGTCGTCTCCATCTCTACCATCTCGGGGCCCCGCTATTCAGACAGTCTACCAACTGTCCTGGCTGAGTAGTGTCACCGATAATAGACGGGCAAAATATTACGTGTGTTAATCCCGATGGTGCTCGCTAAAAAAGAAGTGACTCCAAGTCTTTTCATCTCAGAGTTAAGTCACTACATATGTGTAGTGTAATATCGCCAGCTGGTGGCCAGCAGCGGCAACAGTACACACGCCGGTGAGCACGTGAGCGGGTGTGTCGGCAGAGCGGAGGAACTGGTGCAAGGGTCATGGAGGGCCCTATCTGAAAGCCCCTGGAACCTGCGAGTGGGTTGAGAAGGGAGGCTTGGCCAGGGTGGAGCCAGGCCGCGCTGGTAGCATACATGGTGCTGAGAGCAGGAGCTCGAGGCTCCCAGTTCTGGGATTGGATCGTCTCGTGATAGCTGTCGTCTCGTCGCCATCGTTGCTGCCGTCTTCGCTCGATTTTCCACTGCTAGATCATTTTTGGTTGTCTCCGTCAGCGCCGTTGGTGTTAGACGGCAAGTGTTGTGTATATGCTAGCGACTGTAGAGTGTGTGTAGGCGAGATTGTGAGTGTTCAATAAAGAAGGTGCCTCTGCAAACCTCGTCTCCAACTCACTGATACTACATATGTTTGGTTTAAGCATGTGACTTGTAATACACATTTCCATGAATAACCATGTATAACTGTTTTTAGATTAATAATATTGGCTTAAGGGATAATCCATGAGTTTTTAAGTGATGTCTAAATCTCAGGTGTGTGGTTAATCCACAAATTGGATAAACCGCATGTGTATAATCGAGAATCGAATGTATTATTATTTTACCAGGTAAAGCCCACTGAGCTATATAGCTCAACTTTTGGAAGCTACCTGGCTATCACAAATGTTATCTCAATTATTTATAGCCGTAGACAAATACTCTAAAAACGTAATGTTTATTCTAAATGTGGAGGGGAAAAACCAGAGGACCCGGAGAAAAAGCCACACGACCATAGGTGAAAGAGATATATACACTCCAAATCTATAGGCGTCAGGGTTGGGATCGTACCCACGACCTCCTGTATACCTCTTGGCAAGAGTTGCCAAGGGGATGAGGCGACCGCGCGAATCGGGGACAAGAGAAGGTTCCAGAAGGAAGGTGCGGAGGGGAGCGGGGGGTAAGAAGGGGGAAGAGAAGCATAGAGGACAGGGGAGGAGAGAAGGAGATGCAGTTGGAAAACAAACAGAGAAGTTTCTGTGCCGGCGGAGCTTTGTCGTTGAGCTAGAGCAGAGAGGAACATGAGAGGCAGGGCCAGGTCCGCACTGGCCATAGGGGCAGCATCCCAGGGCCTGGTCCGGACTAGCCATCGGGGTCATATCCCCAGTGGGGCTGGTCCATTCCGAGGGTCGGATGGGGCCGAGTCTGTGTGGGGAAATTGCAAATGTGGTCAGAGTAAAAAACATTTTTTTTATTACTTAAAATATACCTCTCGTATATGCTCATGTAGGCTTGTTTACGCTCTCAGTGGGCAAGTCCCTCATATTCGAAAGCCCCGAAAGATTCTTCCTTACCGACCCCCTCCCCGCCATTAGTATTAGGACCCAGCCCAAAATGGTTGCCAATGAGCATGGCATAGCTATTTTGGGGCCCGTGTGCTTACAAAAATGCCTGGGACCATTTTTCAGTCCCAGTGCCCATCGCGAGGCCCAGGCCACGAGTGAGCGAGACAGCATAGGGTGAACAGAGAGCCCGGGTGACTTGTGGTCACGCTGGACGGTTCGATTCGAGTGTATGGCGCCCCACCTGCCTATTCCAAACGAATTGCCAAGTCGCAGCTCGCAACCAATTTGCTCCTCTAGAGACAAGCTGCTTTGCTGGATTGTTAATAATGTTATCGGGGACACTTTAGGACACCCGACCACTGCCCACTCTCTCCGCCTACTGCCCCTCCGCCCCCACTGACCCCCCTCCCACCCCTCCAAGAGATCTTTACTCATACCGGTCGTTGCACGCAGTAAAGGAACTCCGTGACTTCGCCGGTAGAATCAACGGCATCACGTGGCTGTGACGACTACGAGCAGCGCGCCCAGGAAGAACCCAGACATGGCGAGGGCTGCGCGCCCGGCAGAGTTGCCTGGCTTGGCCGTGGTCTTAGCTGGTGACTTGGTTGTGGTCTTAGCTGGTGACTTGGCTGTGGTCTTAGCTGGTGACTTGGCTGTGGTGTTAGCTGGTGGCTTGATTGTGGGCTTAGCTGGTGGCTTGGCTGTGGTCTTAGATAGTGGCTTGGCTGTGGTCTTCGATGGTGGCTTGGTTGTGGTGTTAGCTGGTGGCTTGATTGTGGGCTTAGCTGGTGGCTTGGCTGTGGTCTTAGATGGTGGCTTGGCTGTGGTCTTCGATGGTGGCTTGGTTGTGGTTTTGGTTGCTTCTTCAGGTTCATTTTCTCCTGGTTCTCTTGCCGTGGTTTCAGCTGGTGGCTTGTTTGTGGTTTTAGCTGGTGCCTTGGTTGTGGTTTTCGGTGTTTCTGCAGGTTCATTTTCTTCTCGTTCCCTTGTCGTGGTTTCAGCTGGTGCCTTGGTTGTGGTGTTAGCTGGTGCCTTGGTTGTGGTTTTAGCTGGTGCCCTGGTTGTGGTTTTGGTTGATTCTTCAGGTTCATTTTCTTCTCGTTCCCTTGTCGTGGTTTCAACTGGTGCCTTGTTTGTGGTTTTGGTTGGTGCCTTAGTTGTGGTTTTAGCTGGTACCTTGGTTGTGGTCTTAGTTGGTGCCTTGGTTGTAGTATTAGCTGGTGCCTTGGTTGTGGTCTTAGTTGGTGCCTTGGTTGTGGTTTTAGCTGGTGCCTTGGTTGTGGTTTTGGCTGGTGCCTTGGTTGTGGTTTTAGCTGGTGCCTTGGTTGTGGCTACATAACCTGCAACACACACAACGGAATAGTAGGTTTGCGGAAATATAATTTCATCGCACCCCTCTCTCTCAAACACTTAACAGACAGAAAATTGTTGCATGTTAAGCCTTATACACCACTTACAAGGCCTGCTACCATAGCTATGCACGCCTGTGATCCAGCGTTGTCGAGGCAATGACAGTTCTTGGATCAGGTGTGTATATATGTTGAACTTCTTTCGCACCGTACATAGCAACCGTGCTAATTGGAAGTGCGGGGTCACACACAAACATTGTAAACTCCCTCAACGTGGGCGTCGAGGAGGTGCCTCCGTATCCCTGGCTCGCCAGGACAAGGTGGCACAACAGGGGGCAACAGCACTTGCCCCAGCAATCTGTTAAGGCTGCACGGGGGATCTTTGTGTTTCAGTTGGGGAGGGAGTACATTTTGCAGGTTTTCTTTCTGCAAACGGATGCTTGACCAATACCAGTCACGTGCTTTTATTTTTCAGACGTGGGAAGAACCTGGAGGAGATACGAACTCAAAACACAGAAAGGTGCCCGAGTCGGGAATGGAACCCAGCCAGGCGTTTCTGTCCGTCTGCGAGGTCACGGGTGTCCACCACCACCCCGCTCGTTGGACTCACCTGAGGCAGTGACCTTCGCCGACTGCACGTTCATTTGCCATTTGGGTTCCGTCTTGACCACGGTCGCTCTGTGGGGTGAACACACCAGGGCAGGCGTGTAACAACCCGAAGGTGTGTGAGCTTACCCGTGATAAATCACATGCACGCACAATCGTGCACTCTGCTGCTTACCTGTTTCTGTAATTGCCACGGAGAGCCGGGTGCGTTTGAATGAGGGGCCGCGTTCCACGTTATAACAGAGCGCATTATAACGGGCACGTTCCGCGTTATAACGGTGCACATTCCACGCCATGCGATCAGCGTTCCACAAACAGAAGAACCGTGTTATAGCGAAAACGCGTTGAAGTGTGAACATCGTTAAGAGGGGACTCACGGTATCCATTCATAGGGGTTCTTCTCTAGGCATTCCTGACACCAATAATACACCATTAAACTATTAGATTTTATTTACCAGGTGTAAAGCCCTACTGAGCTATGTAGCTCTTTTTCAGAAGCGTCCTGGGCCATCACAAATGATAGTTCAACAAAGTAGCGGCTTATCATCATCACGTAGAAATGTATAGCAGTAGCCAAATGTGGAGGGAAAAACCGAAGGACCCGGAGAAAAATCCATGCGACCACAGAGAGAGAGGGGGAGAGAGACACGCAAGCTCGAAATATACAGCAGGCGTCAGGGTCGGGATCGAACCCACAACCCTGTACACCAGACGAGGGAGTTAACATGTCGTAGCCACCGTGGTGCCCAATTATGTATTATTAATAACTAGCTTTACTACCCGGCTTCTTCCGGGACTTGGATTCACCACACCCGGCCGCCTTTATCTCCCCAGTGGCGATGTTCACACACCACACCAGTAACTCGTTTGAGGCTGAGTCGACCTAGGGGAGGCCCAGGACCGGTTCAAATGATCGTCACCAGTGATGGCCGTGAGCGGGATCGAACTCGGGTCGCCAGGTTCGTAGTTCAGCGCGCTAACCACTACACTACCGCTCCGCCCACACACAAGCGCACGTCCACAGGTACACATACACGCGCTTGCTGCAGACACACACAACTTTCAGGGTGCGTACGGCAGTAAAGGACTGAATTAATAAAGCAGCAATGCTGCGCGAAGAACGCCTTAGACCTGCAACACATTTGTATGGCACTTTACTCGCGGAGTGTTGGGGGGGTATGTGACATGAGCAGGCACACTGCGTGACGCTTCCGCATGCGGGTGACATCACAGATGTGACGTCACAGCTCACTTGCCGTGCAAAATATATGCATTATTCCCCCCCTCCCCCCTCAAAAAAATATAAAAGTCATTTTAAAAAAATTCCATGGTGTACAGTCTGGAAAGTACCCACATAGCAAATTCCGAGTTTGTTGCATGTCGGGAAGTACGCTAAACATTTTGAACAGACACACATATTCACACATTTCCCTTTTATATATATAGATAATAGATAATCCAGTGGGTCGTGCGTGTAAGCGTGAGGTTGAACTTACACAAACACAACGGAGCTGGGAGGATTTGTAGTCGGTGGGATCCAATCGAAGCTCAGGTTAGCCTTGGTGGCGCCGGTGGAGTGCGTCACCGCGTCGTTTGCAGGGGCACGGCACTGCGAGAGACGTAAAAAAAGATGACAATGGACCTTGTTATCGAGGCTGGAATATACCCGACGAGCCCACAGGGGAGCACCTCTGTTGACAGATGTACAGCCCAGGCTGGCTCGACAATGGTGAACCCACACACAGGGTGACCACGTGCCCCAGCCGTGCTTAGACTAATGGGCCGCTGTCCAACCTGAAATAATTCACTCAACCTTCTATTCACGGGTTCTTACTTTCCAAAATCCCCCTCTTTATCACTCGTGTTAACCAGGTGCCACCTGTATGAGCCAGGTGCTCAGTCACCTGTGTGAGCCCGGGTTTGGGAAGTCACCTTTAAAATTGTGTTGCCTGCAGGTGGGGTGTCCCATGTGCCAACGATGGTCGTAGTGTTGGGTTCTCGCGCTTGCAGGAGGTAGCCCTTGAAGGTGCCCTGGATGGTGACTTCGGGGGGCCGGGCACACAAAAGGGAGGGGGGTGGAGGAGGAGAAGGAATCCGATGAGCCATAAAACTCTTTTTCACAGATGTTCAGTAGGAGCACGGGGAAATAAAGTTACAACAACAAACAATAGAAAAACACGATTGTAGCGCAAAGTACAAGAAGGTCCCGCTGAGGTATTAACTTATTTTTTCAGAAGCGACCTGGTCATCACAACTGATCACAGCTGAACAATGTGACCCGACCAGTTGGACATTTATAGCACCAAGAAAAATCTAAATTATCTCAATGGATTTTTCTAAATGATGCGGAGGGGGAAAAAAAGGAGGACCCCGAGGTAAAAAAAGATCCACGTGACCGCCGTAAATGTGGATAAAAAACTGGGTAACGTTTGAAATAGTTTGTTTTTGTTATTTCAAACGCCCGGCTATCACTCTCTCTGCAGGACAAGTCGCCTTTGCCGCTGAGGACGAGGCACAGACGAATTTCCCTCAGCCTGCGTGGAGGATTCTCCCGACCATTCTTTTCCAGAAAAATGGCACGTTAGGCGAAAAACGCGTTGAGCGGAACAATAACCCCCCCTACCCCCCCATAAATGACATAAAGATAAAGTTCGGCGAGATACGACGTGACTCTTATGACTACGCGCACGCAGTGGGACGGCGGACAAGTCGCCGTATCGTTCCGAGCACCTCGTCGACCGCTCAGCAATCTGCTTCGATGATGTCACGGCGCACGCGTTCCGCGTTCTACTCCGGCCATTTCTATCGTCGTCATCACTTGCAAATGTCCGTCCGTCACGATTTGTATCGCCATAAACGGGACATCGGGGTGGGGTGGGGAGAGGCGCAGAGTATAGGCAAGGCGTCGCTGGACGCGGGAGGAGGGTTACGCTCCTGGGAAACCTCCGTGTTGTGTAAAACCCGCGTTCGACAAATAATAGACCTCATGGGAAAAATAGGATTGTGTTCCTCGCTCCGAAATCATTATCACCCCACTCGCTCTTTGTTTAACCAGTTCTACAAGAACTGTGGCCTTGTATGTGTGTATGTGCGTGTATGTGAGTGTATCTATGTGCGTGTGTGTGTACACTTATTTATGGGGAGCGGTAGTGTAGCGGTTAGCGCGCTGCGCTACAAACCCGGCTCGCCGAGTTTGATTCCCGCTCACGACCAACACCAGTGACGATTATCTGAACTTTCCCTAGATCGACTCAACCTCAAATGAGTACTTAGTGCGATGTGTAAGCATTGCCACTAGGGAAACAAAGGCGGCCGGGCGTGGTGCTGGCCACCTACCCCCACTGTGCTAACAGCACTTGCTCCAACAGTCTGGTATGGGCTATATGGGGGATCTTTGTCTTTGTACATAGTCTGGTCGACCGAGTCTTCGATACGGGTGAACGAATGGACGAGCGGAGGGGGTTGATGATTCACTCACCTTTAACCTTGGTGCCAGGGGTGAAGGTGCTGCTGTTGGTGACGATGGAGTAGGGTGTGCCGGTCAGTGTGTTGGGGTTGTGATGTGGAACCATATCGGTGCAGGAAGATGATGGAGCTCCACCAGGGAAGCCCTGAGTTCCGTGCAGACCCACCAACCCTACCATCCACACAGCCAGCAGCGCCTCCATCATTCCCAGAGAACGACGAAGCCACGGCGTTTAAGTTGACGACAAATGTTAGTGGTCAATATTAATGTATTTCGGATGGTAAAGCTAAAAAATCTTTAAACACAAATTGAAAAAAAACTCTTGCGCAAGTTTTAAAATAGAAGTCGGCGAAGGTTTACAACACAAAAAATGCTAAAAATCAGTTGGCAATTCAAGCGGCGGGTGGAGCAGCGTAGACGTCAGGGCTTCTTATAGTAGAGAGATGGGGGGTAGGGCGGGGGGGGCACACAACGCGGGGGGGGGGGGGGGTCAGACAAACACAGGGATGACATTGGTCATCGGGGTGGATTTGGCTCGAGGGCACCCACGACGATTCGAAGACATTGTGCAATGCCACAAAATGTTGCGCAAAAATGTCTGAATTCTTCCGCAGCGCGAGGTGTGGTGGCCTCATCCCTCCATTGTTGGAGCACCCCCCCCCCTCCATCATAGCGCTGTCACGCAGTGACTCGGAGTGAACGTTGCTTACCGTGAATGACCCCCTTCCCTCCGATCTAAAGGACAATTGTGGCAGTGCGGGGTTGGTCAGATGACCGCATTGGTTGTGAATTGGGTTGCGCATAACTGTCGGGGGAGCGGAGTTGGAGCGGAGGGGGGGGTATGGGGGAGGGGGCAGAGCCAGGGGTAAGGCTCCTCCTAGACCTCCACCCACGTGTAGAAGGGAGTGAGATGGAACAGATGGAGATTAGTCTACACACTTTGCTGCTGTACCGCCTCTACCTGGCAGTGCCAAGGGTACCACTGCTGCCCCAACACACAGCAATCACGGGCAGCGTAGCAACCGCCGCTCGGAATATTACGAATGATATTTGCATTGTCCTTGTACTGTTCACCTTTTGGCGTTGTCTGTTGGGGCCGCTGGTCCCCGGAGTCCCTCCCTGCTCCGTGCCTATGGCAGGGGCTCCGCCGTGCGCCGACCCCTCGCTGCTCTGCGAGCAGCTGCTGCCGTCGCTGGGCTCATCGCCCGACGGCTCCCCTCCCTGGTCCGTCCCTCCGCGAGCTCGTGTGAGAGGCATAGCTCGCCGCACGCCCTCGTTCACCTGCAGACGCTGCGTTGTCTCTCCACGGATCACGCGCTATTAAAACGGGGGTCGGGGGCGAACGGCGCTGCCCTCACACTGCGCGAGTCCCGGCGGCGACAGACGGATCGGGGACCTGCGGACGCACCGACCCCTTCACCCACACTACGAGCGCACACACCTGCACACACGCGACACCCACTCGTGCGCCGCTCTACGCAGAGCTCACTCACGTGGTGAACCACAGTGTACACACGCGCACCCACACGCTCACACTGCACGACAATATCACGCGAGACCACGCTTCGCTATTAATGATTTATTATCTGATACCTGGTAATTTAATGTTAAATCAGTGAGTCGACGAGGCTGGCCTACGCTGATACCTTTATACCTATTCCCGATTTATCTGCTATGATTCTAATTCACCTACTTACTTCCTGCTGGATGCCCACGGCGGTTCGTTGATCCCGTGCTCGCAGCGCACCTCGATGCGTCTCACGGACGATCGGGTCGCTGGACTGGAGAGCGTCCTGTCGCCTGGCGCTGGAGAGAAGAGAGCTATTTTCCCTCTGCGCCCCTCTATTTATCCTCCCTACCTCAAAGGGGATGCTGCGCTAAACAATGGGCTCGCGATCCTCTGGCACGCGCACGGCGGTTCTGGGCGCTGTTGATATGCTAATCAGTGTGCTGCGTGCAAGGCGTAAATCCTACTTAATCCCTTACCCTCCCTAACAATGGGGCCTGCGCGCTCAAGCGCAATTATCCCAACCCTCCATGACTATGCGCAACAGCCCCTGTGACCCCCCTATTCATGCTGTCCCGTGCCTCCCCTGCTCGCCCCGTCGACCCGTGGGAGTGTGTGTGGGGGGAGATGCGCTTCAACGGCGGTGGCCGAATGCCCCACGCCGCGACCACACCATATTAAGGCCGGCCGCAGCGCCGCGGTGCCACGTAGCACGGGGGAGGTCATCCAATCCCCTGATCGCCGGAAACCGTGAGAATTAATCCCGATAAGGGTCTCTCGGATAAAAACCGGTCGGCCAGGCGACCTCCCCTCGGAGCTCTATGGGGGGGGGGGGGGGGGAAATGAGTGCGGGGGTGTTCATGTGAGGTGAGGTGAGGGGGACGTGGGGTCGGCTCCGTTGCTTGGTGGTGGCGAGGTCGGGGATTTGGTGCCTGCCGAACGGCTTCGTGGCGGCGGCATCACATGTCCTTTGGTCTAACACTGGGCGCCGCGGTGGCTAGGAGATGTTAACCACCTCTACCGGTGTACAGGAGGTAGTGGGTTCGAACCCGACCCTGACGCCTGCTGTATATTTGAAGTTTTCGGTGTTTCTCTCTCCCCGTGGTGGCGCTGATTTTTCTCCAGGTCCTCCGGTTTTTCGCTCCACATTTGGAATCACGCGTTTAGGGAATTTTTCTGCTGCTACAAATGTCCACGTAATGATGATATCAGCCACTTCGTCGGGCTATCACTTGTGATGGTCAGGTCGCTTCTGAAAAAGAACTACATCGCAGCTCAGTGGGCCTGACCTGGTAAGAGAAAAATTATGTTGCTCCGGTTAATCCGAAATCCACATGACCACCTCTACAGTACAGTAGTTTCATATCTTTGTGGGCGGAGTTTGATTGATGTTGATTGGCTGTGGCTTTGCTACCATCCAATTAGTGGGCCGAGTCTTCTGCGAGGCGGGAGCAGGAAAGTTATCACTGAGCATTAACAAAATCAACTTTCTTTACTTAATTTGTACCTATTTATTAGTGGTTTTTGCTATAGAGATCCGCGAAAAATGGATATGTTTGGATTATCTGTGATTTAGATTTATCCATGGCTGCCATCCCTGTTATTAGCGTGGATAATCGATAATCTACTGCATATGTATCTCTCTATATCCCTATGAGTCCCTATGCAAATCTATGTATCTCGATGGGTCTATATGCCATTTTGGTAATGACCCAGGGCCACGCTTGCGAATGAGACTCCTACCCTGGTCTCCTGAGTTTTGACCTGGTCACACAGAATCCACTCCAGAACGATGTAATCTCTCTGCACCTGTGCGTGTATTTTATTGGTCTTTATTGTGGTCTCTGTGTATCTAACTCACAGCATCATGAAAAAGCAAAGAAACAAAAAATACAACGACAATAATCATTAAAAGGCACACAGGAGTTCAACAGCCAAGTGGTTTGTGAAGGATTGGACACTTACAGTGGGGGTGGAGTTAGCGGGTGAAAGTAAAACGTCCAAGAGAGCGAACGTGTTATGGGTTGTTTAGACTCGAGTTAAATATTCAATATTACTGCAACATTCAATCTTTAAAATATATGGCCTATTACGATATAATGTTATATACTCATAACTACTTCGGTCGTTTACCCATTAAGAGTCTCTCCGAGTCTCAAGGACGCGTTGAGCTGGAGGCTCCTGCCAGGAGTTGGTGGCAGTAGTGGGGAGGGGGGGTATGTTACCGCTGCTGGTGCTGCCGCTGTGAGATCCCAGTCGAGGGATTTTGCTGCAGGGGATTTCTCAGCACTGATTGGTGTGGGGGGGGTCATGTGGGGGTTTATAGGGCGACAGCAGTTCCACTGTGGGAATGTGGTTGAGCTATAGCAGGAGGAGGAAACTGAAGAAGCCGGAGTAAACCAATGCAGGACAAGGGGAGAGAGGGAGGGAGCACACCAACTGCACACACACACAAAATCGGAGCCCCAATTGGGAATCGAAACCAAAATCTTCTTGCTGCGAGGCCACAAGTGTTGCCACCCAACATTGTCCACCCGAAATATATGTCAACATATATAAATAAAAGTTAAATATTCAAAAACACACATGCATGCTATACACCGGACGATGGACTAACATGTGCAGAGACCCATCCAGTGACGTGGAGACATTGTCAAGGCGAGGGATGACATCACAAAGGCGTCCAGTGACGTCGTCTGAAACAGCTCGCGGGTCATTCGAAATAGCCGAGCGCACGTGGCAGGGGGCACAAGTGCTTCTCATAGTGCAGCTGGAGCCATCAGGCACAGCCCGTAGTGACTTCCCAGCAGGTGGGGTGGCAACAGCTGCTGCTGTGTGGGTCTAGCCTAGGGGCACCCCCAGTGGCAGCTGTCCCTGTGCATAGGTCACCGTTGAAACGCGGAATGTGCGCTGTTATAATGCAGTTTACGACCAGTCAGTGACGAACTACTTTCCTGAGCTACACGGCTGAGCGGTACGGTGATACAGTACGTGGAATGATACGGTAACGCGGCGGCGTACCCTCAGTTATCTGTCCCACCATCTCACTACTTCGTGTGTGCATAGTAGCAATCACAGTATGTCGTATCTCGCCAAACTTTACTGTCGATAAATCAGTTATGGGGAAATCCTTTTTTTGCAACGCGTTTTCCACTTAACGCAGCACTTTTTCAGGAACGGGTCGACTGCCAGCACTGCCACCCGGCGTGTTAGCGAGGACTCGCTGCATTTGCCCTGCTGGGGATCGTGACAACATGTCGACCTTGCATCCTTTCTAGCGACGCGGGGTGGGCGTGAGAGGGCACACGAAGAAAGTTGTGTGCAACTCAGCGCGACTCACGGAGCGACTCACGACGTGACTTGCAGACCCTTCACAGAGGGACATTCTCATCCGAGGTCACGTGCCGACACGTGGACACGTGGCCAGGCATGTGGCTGGGACGAAATCCCGTGACCGTGCAAACTAATCTAGGCACGTGGCTCCGACGGCCGCCAGCGTCGCGCCCAGGCAGAGCGACACCCCAGCGCGGAGCAAACGCCCAGCGGAGCTGCCACCCTTGCCCACCGCGGTCGTGTTCCCCGCATGCCCGCCTGACCACACGCCGTCACTGCCAACCGTGGTTTTAGCTCCTCCCGCTCCTCCTGCTGCTGCCTTGGTCGTGGTTGGAGCTCCTCCCGCTCCTCCTGCTGCTGCCTTGGTCGTGGTTTTAGCTCCTCCCGCTCCTCCTGCTGCTGCCTTGGTCGTGGTTGGAGCTCCTCCCGCTCCTCCTGTTGCTGCTTTGGTCGTGGTTGGAGCTCCTCCCGCTCCTCCTGCTGCTGCTTTGGTCATGGTTGGAGCTCCCCCGCCTCCTCCTGCTGCTGCCTTGGTCGTGGTTTTAGCTCCTCCCGCTCCTCCTGCTGCTGCCTTGGTCGTGGTTTTAGCTCCTCCCGCTCCTCCTGCTGCTGCTTTGGTCGTGGTTGGAGCTCCCCCGCCTCCTGCTGCTGCTGCCTTGGTCGTGGTTGGAGCTCCCCTGCCTCCTGCTGCTGCTGCCTTGGTCGTGGTTGGAGCTCCCCCGCCTCCTCCTGTTGCTGCCACTGTCTTGGTCGTGGTCTTTGCTGGGTTTCCATAACCTGGGCAAAAAAAAATGCACACACGCGGGCCTCAGATTGGCTCTGAGCACCAAGCAGTTCAGGAAACTCTGCAAGGCTTTTAGCTTTTCCTTGAGTATGTCCTCTCATTTTTATATTTTTACGTCATGATTTTATAGGTCGGAGGACTTCCTTCCTTTAAGTTATACTGAAAAGTATTGCGATGCCCTCTTTAGTGGGCACGAGTTATTTTACTCAAAAAGTAAATTGAATTAATGAATGAAAGATCCCCTGCCCCCCATGTAGCCTCAACAGACTGTTGGGGCAAGTGCTCTGAGTAGCGAGTAGCAGCAGCAGCGCCTATGAAGGTAGACACAGACAAAGATCCCCCGTGTAGCCTTTAACAGACTGTTGGGGCAAGTGCTGTGAGTAGCGAGTAGCAGCAGCAGCGCCTATGAAGGTAGACACAGACAAAGATCTCCTGTGTAGCCTTTAACAGACTGTTGGGGCAAGTGCTCTGAGTAGCGAGTAGCAGCAGCAGCGCCTATGAAGGTAGACACAGATGTAGTGACATAAGAAGGGAGGGGCTGCTGGGGGTTCTGGGATCCCAGGCGAGTCCAGACGCTTAAGCCTCTGGGCGCCAGGCGCTGGGTTCCCAGGGGGTCCAGACGCTTAAGCATCTGGGCGCCAGGCGTTGGGTTCCCAGGGGGTCCAGATGCTTAAGCCTCTGGGCGCCGCCAACGGGGGGGGGGGGGGCTGTGTGTGCTCTGTGGGATGTCTGGTGGCGCACACGGCCCCACCCTTCGTTGGACCAGGCATAAAAGGAGAGCTCCCTGGACGATCGGGGCCCAGTTGTAACTCAAGACCCAAGACCCACGACCAGCCATCTGAAGACCCTGGGATGCTGTGAGAGCCAGCGCTGGGACTCTGGAACTCCCGACTCTACGACCTTGTGAGGGCGAGTTCTGGAGCGTAGCCAGAGTAGAGTATCTAGGCTGTGTAGCTAGGCTGTGTAACTAGGCTGTAACAGAGTATCAGGACTGTTGGAGAGTTGGAGTACTGTTGGAGTGTTGTATTGTAATAAAGAAGTTACATCTACAAGTGTCTCCGGAACCCGTTACATTTGGCGTCAGAAGTGGCTATGGAGACAAGAAGTAAGCCACGTACCTTCAGTCCTGACGGCGATGAAGAGGAGCAGGCAGCGATGGGGCGACCAACGCCGGCCGACAGCGACGCTGCACCGCCGGCCGACAACAACGCCGCACCGCCAGCTAAGCAGCTGTCTGCTCCGCCGACCGTCCCCTCTCCAGCGTCGGGAGCAGGTATGGAGGAGGCGCTGCTTCGCCTCGCAGAGCTGCTCTGCGCCACCGCCTCCCTCCTGGGCGAGATGCGGTGCTCGCGGGCGATGGCGGGAGGGAGAGAGGAGGCGCGGCGCTCGCCCGAGCCCGCCGCCGCCGCCACAAACATGGTGGACGCCGCCGCCATTCCCGCCACCGGCGTCCCCCCCACGGATGTGAGGGATACTTCCGGGAATGACATCACTTCCACCGGAGGAGCAGTGACCGCTGGGAGCGACGTCACTTCCGGGCCCAGCGTGGGCCAACCTGGAGACGCCGCGTCATCAGCGCTGCGTCCCTCACCGCCGGGTGACAGCTGTTTGCAACCTAGCAACGCCGCATCATCAGCGCTGCGACCTTCACTGCCGGACGACAGCTGGCTTCAACCTAGCATACCGCGTTATCAGCGCTGCGACCGGACAGTGAGGGCGCCATTCTTACTGTAACCAGCGCCGGGGCCGGCACATGGACCGACACGCTGGTCGCCGCCTTTGCTGCTCTGGCCAAAGGTTGGAGGTCGGGAGACCAGGCCCCTGACACTTCGTACATTTTACGCGCTCCGGATTAATGATTTTTTTGTTGATATTTTCTTCGTTGTCGTCGGGGAGTCGTGACTGTTGTTGGGTAAACTGTGTGGAGCTTCGCTCGTGAGTGTTGTCAATGTGTGTGCGAAACTTTGCTTGTGATTGTTAACAATGTATGGGTAATATTGAGCTTTGTTCGTGATTGTTAATGTATAGCTTGTGCTGTCATTGTTAACGATGTATATACTGTATGGGGCATTTATCTTGAGATGGTGACATGCTGCCAAGGATTTGGAATTGTCATGCTGGCTCTCAAATATCTTGGGGTGCAGATCCTGACCAGGATGGCCCAGCGGGTGTTGCATGTCTAACACGAGAGTTGTGGTCCCGTCATGCTATGGCTGACGGCTTGACCTGACAGCCCGGAGATAGAGACACTCCGTGGCAGGTCTAGCCTAGTGGGCTGTATGCTCACATGGCTCGGAGAGTGTGGTCCCGTCATGCGATGGCTGACGGCTTGACCTGACAGCCCGGAGATTGAAACACTCCGAGGCGCGTTGAAACAGTGGGCTGGAGATTCGTGGTGTTCAGGTGTAGTTGTCCCATTACGTTGGGACTGTATCCCTCAGTTGTTAGGGTGCATGTTGTGCAGGGAGTGAACAATGGGTCGTCTCAGATCGGTCGGTACAGCTATATGCTGCGATGCGAGTCTTGGAGAGAGATTGGGTCTCAGCTCGGTCGGTACAGCTATATGCTGCGATGCGAGTCTTGGAGAGAGGTTGGGTCTCAGATCGGTTGGTACAGCTATATGCTGCGATGCGAGTCTTGGAGAGAGATTGGGTCTCAGATCGGTCGGTACAGCTATATGCTGCGATGCGAGTCTTGGAGAGAGATTGGGTCTCAGATCGGTCGGTACAGCTATATGCTGCGATGCGAGTCTTGGAGAGAGACTGGGTTGAAGTCCCCCCCGATATGGCCGACGTGCGCGGTTTTAGGATGGAGACGCCACGTTGGAAAGGCGGGGGGTGCAAACGGTTGACCTGTAATGTCGGTGGTGGTCCTCATTGAGGGCTGCTGGGACGCAAGCACGGGATGCCTTGGAGATGCGGTTCGCGCGTGCGGCCACCATTTATGGACAGGAGCAGGCAAATTTATTTGGTTTGTGTCATGTAAATTTTATATATATATTTTAATTTAAAATGTAGATACTGGAGCAGCCCTGAAGTGCGACTTCTTTGCCCAGTACATGGGTCGGCCGTGAAGTACGACTTCTCGACCCGGGACGTAGACAGACGTCCGGATTAGTGTGTGTAGAGGGATGCTCGACATGTTGGTCTTCGCCTTCTCTCCACCTGACGGATGGGAGGCTAGCAGGGTGGTGTGGATCCCTGCCATCCATGCGGTGATTGTGTGATTTCGGTTCGATTACCGGTGTTGGTTGTGCATCCAACGCGTCGGAATCTGTATATTTGTTGTTAATTCCCCGTTTTCTATGCAGATCCCGAGGAGGGCTAGGTGTGCCGCGGGTCGTTTGTTCACATGTCATTGCTTCACCTTTTTGTTGATTGATTCTTGTATATAGTGTAGAGTTGTACAGATTGGTTATGGTATTTATGGTTGCTTTCTTGTTCTCTTTTCTTTTCCTGTTGAGGCTCGCGTATTTTTTTTTCTCTCTCTCCCTTTCGTTAATTTAAACTTTCTAATTATTGACAGCCGGGACGGCTGGAGGCTACGTAGAGGGGGGTAATGTAGTGACATAAGAAGGGAGGGGCTGCTGGGGGCTCTGGGATCCCAGGCGAGTCCAGACGCTTAAGCCTCTGGGCGCCAGGCGCTGGGTTCCCAGGGGGTCCAGACGCTTAAGCCTCTGGGCGCCAGGCGTTGGGTTCCCAGGGGGTCCAGACGCTTAAGCCTCTGGGCGCCGCCAACGGAGGGGGGGGGGCTGTGTGTGCTCTGTGGGATGTCTGGTGGCGCACACGGCCCCACCCCTCGTTGGACCAGGCATAAAAGGAGAGCTCCCTGGACGATCGGGGCCCAGTTGTAACTCAAGACCCAAGACCCACGACCAGCCATCTGAAGACCCTGGGATGCTGTGAGAGCCAGTGCTGGGACTCTGGAACTCCCGACTTTACGACCTTGTGAGGGCGAGTTCCGGAGTGTAGCCAGAGTAGAGTATCTAGGCTGTGTAGCTAGGCTGTGTACCTAGGCTGTAACAGAGTATCAGGACTGTTGGAGAGTTGGAGTACTGTTGGAGTGTTGTATTGTAATAAAGAAGTTACATCTACAAGTGTCTCCGGAACCCGTTACACAGACAAAGATCTCCTGCGTAGTAGAGGCCAACCGAAATTCGGTTTCGGCGCCGAAAGTTGGCAAATGGCCTCTTCGGAATAGTTTCTATTTCGGCCGAAGCCAAAAAGTTAACTTTTGGTTTATTTTCGGTTTCGGCCGAAACTGATATTGACTTTCGGTCGTCATTCGTCAATCGAACATTTATTTTTAGAATATAACGCTAGTGCTACGTCTATCACTCTGCCTATCGGCCGGTCAGTCGGCGCTAGGCAAAGAAACAAAAAATACAACGACAATAATCATTAAAAGGCACACAGGAGTTCAACAGCCAAGTGGTTTGTGAAGGATTGGACACTTACAGTGGGGGTGGAGTTAGCGGGTGAAAGTAAAACGTCCAAGAGAGCGAACGTGTTATGGGTTGTTTAGACTCGAGTTAAATATTCAATATTACTGCAACATTCAATCTTTAAAATATATGGCCTATTACGATATAATGTTATATACTCATAACTACTTCGGTCGTTTACCCATTAAGAGTCTCTCCGAGTCTCAAGGACGCGTTGAGCTGGAGGCTCCTGCCAGGAGTTGGTGGCAGTAGTGGGGAGGGGGGGTATGTTACCGCTGCTGGTGCTGCCGCTGTGAGATCCCAGTCGAGGGATTTTGCTGCAGGGGATTTCTCAGCACTGATTGGTGTGGGGGGGGTCATGTGGGGGTTTATAGGGCGACAGCAGTTCCACTGTGGGAATGTGGTTGAGCTATAGCAGGAGGAGGAAACTGAAGAAGCCGGAGTAAACCAATGCAGGACAAGGGGAGAGAGGGAGGGAGCACACCAACTGCACACACACACAAAATCGGAGCCCCAATTGGGAATCGAAACCAAAATCTTCTTGCTGCGAGGCCACAAGTGTTGCCACCCAACATTGTCCACCCGAAATATATGTCAACATATATAAATAAAAGTTAAATATTCAAAAACACACATGCATGCTATACACCGGACGATGGACTAACATGTGCAGAGACCCATCCAGTGACGTGGAGACATTGTCAAGGCGAGGGATGACATCACAAAGGCGTCCAGTGACGTCGTCTGAAACAGCTCGCGGGTCATTCGAAATAGCCGAGCGCACGTGGCAGGGGGCACAAGTGCTTCTCATAGTGCAGCTGGAGCCATCAGGCACAGCCCGTAGTGACTTCCCAGCAGGTGGGGTGGCAACAGTTGCTGCTGTGTGGGTCTAGCCTAGGGGCACCCCCAGTGGCAGCTGTCCCTGTGCATAGGTCACCGTTGAAACGCGGAATGTGCGCTGTTATAATGCAGTTTACGACCAGTCAGTGACGAACTACTTTCCTGAGCTACACGGCTGAGCGGTACGGTGATACAGTACGTGGAATGATACGGTAACGCGGCGGCGTACCCTCAGTTATCTGTCCCACCATCTCACTACTTCGTGTGTGCATAGTAGCAATCACAGTATGTCGTATCTCGCCAAACTTTACTGTCGATAAATCAGTTATGGGGAAATCCTTTTTTTGCAACGCGTTTTCCACTTAACGCAGCACTTTTTCAGGAACGGGTCGACTGCCAGCACTGCCACCCGGCGTGTTAGCGAGGACTCGCTGCATTTGCCCTGCTGGGGATCGTGACAACATGTCGACCTTGCATCCTTTCTAGCGACGCGGGGTGGGCGTGAGAGGGCACACGAAGAAAGTTGTGTGCAACTCAGCGCGACTCACGGAGCGACTCACGACGTGACTTGCAGACCCTTCACAGAGGGACATTCTCATCCGAGGTCACGTGCCGACACGTGGACACGTGGCCAGGCATGTGGCTGGGACGAAATCCCGTGACCGTGCAAACTAATCTAGGCACGTGGCTCCGACGGCCGCCAGCGTCGCGCCCAGGCAGAGCGACACCCCATGCTATGGCTGACGGCTTGACCTGACAGCCCGGAGATAGAGACACTCCGTGGCAGGTCTAGCCTAGTGGGCTGTATGCTCACATGGCTCGGAGAGTGTGGTCCCGTCATGCGATGGCTGACGGCTTGACCTGACAGCCCGGAGATTGAAACACTCCGAGGCGCGTTGAAACAGTGGGCTGGAGATTCGTGGTGTTCAGGTGTAGTTGTCCCATTACGTTGGGACTGTATCCCTCAGTTGTTAGGGTGCATGTTGTGCAGGGAGTGAACAATGGGTCGTCTCAGATCGGTCGGTACAGCTATATGCTGCGATGCGAGTCTTGGAGAGAGATTGGGTCTCAGCTCGGTCGGTACAGCTATATGCTGCGATGCGAGTCTTGGAGAGAGGTTGGGTCTCAGATCGGTTGGTACAGCTATATGCTGCGATGCGAGTCTTGGAGAGAGATTGGGTCTCAGATCGGTCGGTACAGCTATATGCTGCGATGCGAGTCTTGGAGAGAGATTGGGTCTCAGATTGGTCGGTACAGCTATATGCTGCGATGCGAGTCTTGGAGAGAGACTGGGTTGAAGTCCCCCCCGATATGGCCGACGTGCGCGGTTTTAGGATGGAGACGCCACGTTGGAAAGGCGGGGGGTGCAAACGGTTGACCTGTAATGTCGGTGGTGGTCCTCATTGAGGGCTGCTGGGACGCAAGCACGGGATGCCTTGGAGATGCGGTTCGCGCGTGCGGCCACCATTTATGGACAGGAGCAGGCAAATTTATTTGGTTTGTGTCATGTAAATTTTATATATATATTTTAATTTTAAAATGTAGATACTGGAGCAGCCCTGAAGTGCGACTTCTTTGCCCAGTACATGGGTCGGCCGTGAAGTACGACTTCTCGACCCGGGACGTAGACAGACGTGATAGGCTGCAAACACACACACATGTCAGCAGCAGCAGCAGCTTGGGAGCGAGGTTACAGCTGCAACCATGGTCTGCTAATTAGAGGCCGACCAAAATTCGGTTTCGGCGACGAAAGTTGGCAAATGGCCTCTTTCGGCATAGTTTCTGTTTCGACCGAAGCCACAAAGTTTACTTTTGGTTTCGACCGAATGTTAATTTTTAACTTTCGGTCTGGTTTTGTTTTCAGCCGAAACCAGAAATTCAGTCTCGGTCGGCCTCTACCGTGTAGTCTCTAACAGACTATTAGGGCAAGTGCTGTTAGTAGCGAGCTGCAGCAGCGCCTATGAAGGGCAGCATTGTGGCATACGAGGGGGTGAGTGGCCAGCACCAAAGACAAAAGTCCCCTCATGTAGCCTCGAATCGAATCCAGGCACTTGTATTTTTTTAGATGTGAGGCACGCGGTGTTTTTGTGCGTGTGGACAGACCCGAGGGTTTGAGTTGATGTGACGTCACGTTGCCCTGCCATTCGTTGAGCAGCTTCACGACGGTCGCTCTGCGGGGAGCGAAAGGCCCGGGTGAAGATTGAAGGGAGTAGGAGGGATCAAAGTCTCATTTACAGGATTGAGCGAGTCAATGAGCGAGTCAATGAGCGGGTCAGTGAGTGAGTGATTCAGTGGGTGATTGAGTGCGTGAATGAGTGATTGAGTGGGTAAGTGATTAAGTGCGTGATTGAGTGAATGAGTGGTTGGCTACGTATGGTGCGAATTCAACATATATACATTTTAGTCACTGAATCCCAGACACTAAGAGTAGGAGGCACTCTGTTTATTAACAGCTTTAACAGTTCACACTTAGTAACTACAGCTCCCAGTCAGGACAGCTGGCAGACTGCCTGACGATGCCGAGCAGGTGAAGACGAAAACGGCGACGAAGACTCCAGCAGCACGACGAGGGGATCCCACACCAAATGACAGCCCCGAGCTCCCGCTCGGGCCCCCCCCCCCCTTTTAATCCTTCCAGTATGGCCTCGCTCTGCCCCGGCCACACCCCCTCTCTAGAACCTACGAACGGGTTCCCGGACTTCCCTCACGTGCCCCTTCTGTAACCTTTCCCCTACATTCCTCTCTCTGGTCTATCACGTCACCTGCTGTCAGTCATGGCTGCTGCAACTGCAGATCCCCTTCCCTACCAGCAACAAGCTGCTAAGTGACCGATTCTATGTTTCTATGTTAATACGCATTCATTAAGTGGGTGAATGACAGTGGACGAGTGAGTCAAGTTGATGTTGTGGTGTCACCAGCTGAGAACTCGAGTGATTGAGTGTGTGAGTGATTGAGTGAGTGGGTGGGTGAATGAGTTAATGAGTGAGTGATTGAGTGAGTGGATGGGTGAGTGAGTGGATGGGTGAGTGAGTGATTGATTGAGCAATTGAGTGAGTGTGTGGTTGAGTGATTAATTGATTGAGTGGGTGAATTAGTTATTGAGTGGTTGGGTGAGTGCGCGAGTGTTTGATTGAGTGAGTGGGTAAATAAGTTATTGAATGGGTGAATGAGTTATTGAGTGAATAATTTAGTGAGTGGGTGGGTGAGTGAGTGAGTGGGTGAGTGAGTGAATCCTGGGGTTTCTTGAGTTACCACCCCGTCACACAACCATTGGTACTGTTAATGTAAATAGAACAAAATATAACACATATATAAAGACATAAAATGCTCACATGAACTCTATGGAGGTGGAAGCATTTGAGTCCGGTGGAATCCAATTAAAGACCAGGTCTGTCTTGGAATCATTGGAGGTGTGAGTCATGGCGTCGTTTCTTGAATTCGTGCACTGCAAGACGACACGGGGACATGGTGATATGGGGACATGGGGACAAAGAGACACGGTTACATGGAGATCCACATACACAGGAACACGGAGATACGGAGACACGAAGATATGGAAATACACAGACACAGAGATACGGAAAAACGGAAATACGGAGACACGGGGACACTGGGTCACGGAGATACGAGGACACGGAAATACAGAGACACGGGGGACATGGAAATACGGGGACATGGAGACACGGGGACATGGAGACACGGGGACACAGAGACACGAGGACATGGAAATATGGAGACATGGAGACACTGGGTCATGGGGACACGGAGACACGAGGACACGGATATATGGAGACACGGGGGACATGGAAATACGGGGACACAAGGACACAGGGACACGGAGACACGGGGACACGGAGACACGGAGAAAGGGGGATACGGAGACACAGGGACACAGAGACACTGGGAACACGGAGACACGGAGACACAGGGACACGGAAACACGGGACACGGGGACACGGGACACAGAGACACTGGGAATACAGCTACACGGGGACACGGAGACACGGAGACTCGGGGACATGGGGACACGGAGATACAAGAACACGGAGATGTGTTGGTACTTGTACCTGTAGGTACTTGGTGCCATTGGGCGGGGTGTCCCAGGTCCCCACGATGTTCGCCGTGCCGGCTTCTCGCGCCTGGAGCAGGAAGCCCGTGAACTCACCCTTGATGGTGACTGCGGCACAGGCGATATTTACTCGGACGGCGAACTGTGCCACCATTCTTGTTACCGTGGCACCATTCGTGTTACCGTGCCACCATTCATGTTACCGTGCCACCATTCACGTTACCGTGCCACCATTCATGTTACCGTGCCACCATTCTTGTTACCGTGCCACCATTCACGTTACCGTGCCACCATTCACGTTACCGTGCCACCATTCTTGTTACCGTGCCACCATTCACGTTACCGTGCCACCATTCACGTTACCGTGCCACCATTCTTGTTACCGCACCACCATTCACGTTACCGTGCCACCATTCTTGTTACCGTGCCACCTATTCTTGTTACCGTGCCACCATTCTTGTTACCGTGCCACCATTCACGTTACCGTGCCACCATTCTTGTTACCGTGCTACCATTCTTGTTACCGTGCCACCATTCTTGTTACCGTGCCACCATTCACGTTACCGTGCCACCATTCTTGTTACCGTGCTACCATTCTTGTTACCGTGCCACCATTCACGTTACCGTGCCACCATTCTTGTTACCGTGCCACCATTCTTGTTACCGCGCCACCATTCTTGTTACCGTGCTACCATTCACGTTATCGTGCCACCATTCACGTTATCGTGCTACCATTCACGTTACCGTGCCACCATTCTTGTTACTGTGCCACCATTCATGTCACCGTGCCGGGTAAGACGGTCCCACGGAGCGGCTATTTCGCTCTCTTTTTCAGGCAAGCGACGTGGCCATCACAAATGAGAGCGAATTGGCCTATTACCATCGCGTGGAAATGTATAGCAGTAGCCAAATACTCTAATTGTGGAGGGGAAAACCCAGAAGACCCGGAGAAAAGTCCACGCGACCATGAGGACAGAGACAAAGACGGCAAATGTAAAACAGGCATCGTCAGGGTCGTGATCGAATCCACGCCCTCCTGTATACAAGGAGAAGTAGTTAACATCTCGCCAACGTCTTCTTGGTTCTTTCGGTAAAGTCGTCACGTAGAAGGGAAGTAATAAAATAATAAAAATAAAACATAATAAAATAAAATAATTCTCACGACGTTTCGGCTACAACGCAAGCAGCCGTCTTCAGCAGCCGTCTTCAGGTGAAGACGGCTGCTTGCGTTGTAGCCGAAACGTCGTGAGAATTATTTTATTTTATTGTGTTTTATTTTTATTATTTTATTACTTCCCTTCTACGTGACTTTACCGAAAGAACCAAGAAGATGAATCCCTGCAGTCACGAAAGCTTTAAATCGAAATCTCGCCAACGGTAACAATCACCCTCGCAGTACAGGTAACGTCCGATCAGTCCAGGGAGCATGCACATTTAACATTGAAGTCTGAAGTCCATTGGAGCCTTTGTATTTATGCATGAATGTTGACCTTCTTTTGCACCGTATGTAGCCACCCGTGCTAATCGGAGGTGCGAGGCGCAGGAGGAGGAGTGTGAGACAGATCATTGAGGTAGACACGTTATGGACCAGAGTTGGAGCACCACTACCCCCTGCATACCAGGCGAGGGAGATGACATCTCGCTAATGCGCAAACACGTTTGTTCAAATTGTTACATCTGCTCGCTCATATTTAGAAACACGCGTTTATAGTAATTGGCTACTATACATTTGCACGGGACAAGCCACTTCGTTGAGCGATCATTTGTGGCCAGGTCGCTTCTGAAAAATAGCTACAGAGCTCAGTGGGCCCTACCTGATAATATAAAACATTGTTTAGTTTAGTTGTAACAGAATTTCGCATTGGATGATAGTGACAAAATTTCACGTTGAAGGATAGTGACAGAATTTCACGTTGAAGGATAGTGACAGAATTTCACATTGAAATTGGCTTGAATGAGTGAAAAAATTAATAGGTGAATGAATGGTGTGAGTAGGTGGGTGAATGAGTGGATAAGTGAGTGGATGAGTGAGTGAATTAGTGGGATAAGTGAGTTGAGTGAGCAAATGAGTGTGGTGAACGCAAGCGCAGTGGTGAGTTTGTCAGCCCATGTCTCGGTGCGGACCGAGTCGTCGACGTGGTGTAGAGATAAGAGTCGAAGAGTGCGCATCGAAGCGCAGTCGAGGGTTGCGCGACTCGTCCATCGACTCACCCTGCACGGCGGTCCTGGCGCTGAAGGTGTTGTCGGCGGTGCTCACAGAGAACAAAGAATTCTTGAGGTTGATGACGCCGTGATTCGGCGTCATCTTCACGCATTGATCTTTGGGAGCTCCCTCCGCGTAGCCCTCAACTCTGTCGAGCCGGATCAGGTGCGCGGAGACGCAGAGAGCGAGGAGAGCCCTCATCGCGGCCTGCGAAGGCAAAGCTGACCAGCAAGCCAAGGGGGACCAGAGACAAGGGGCGGGGGGGGGGGCGGACAGAGACACAGAGAGAGACAGAGACACAGATTAATACAGACAGATACACAGAGAGAGACACAGACAAATACACAAGGAGAGTCACAGACAGATACACAGGGAGAGACACAGGGAGAGACGTAGACTGACAAACAGATATACAAAGAGAAACACAGACAGATACACAGGGAGAGACACAGACAGATTCACAGACATATGCACAGGGAGAGACACAGACACATACACAGACAGAGACACAAAGAGAGATACGGACAGATACACAGACAGAGACACAAAGAGACAGGGATAGAGAAGGCAAAGAAGAGAGAGAGAGAAAGAGAAGAATAATTTCCTCACAATTCTGGCTATCGCCTGATGAAGCTGCTGGTTGTTGTTGTTGTTGTAATCAACAGCGAAAACGTCACGGTACTCGAATTGTAAACGTTGCGAGTTTACTCTCCAACACACAACCGGTTAGTGCTGAACTAGGAACTAATTGTGCACGTTTTGTCGACTTGACAAACACTTGCTCATTGGCTGTGTCGGGTGGATGTGGCGGATTTAACGACATTTATATTTACGCGATATAACCCCCAAAAAGCCATTTATTATGGATAATTTGGGTCGCGAAAGCTCCACTACGTGTTAAAATAGAGAGGGAGCGAGAGAAAGTTATATCTCTGAGGTACGCGATCCCAAGTTGGACGCACACACCTGAGATCAGAATATTTTTCTTGAGTGGAGGAATCCGAAAAACTATTAAGCTCTTTTTTTCAACACCTATGCCCAAGTAGCTGAATTAAAGATTTAGTGTAAAATAGAGGTTAATGTTTGTTTTTATTTTACTATATATACGCGAAGGGTTCTTAAGCCAATGAATATCTCTTGAGAGAAAACAAATCTAAATCATCTGGATATAAATCAAATTTTAATTGGAAAAAAATCAACAGGGATGTAAGATTTCTAGCTTATGATTTAGCACAACAACAACCTATAAATTACAGAGTTATCGTGATGTCCCTTCCCTGTGGATGTGCCCACCGATCTTGATGCAACTCCAATATCCAAGGAGGGCAACAAGGAGGATGAGGAGTGCCTTTGAGAAAGAATCTGTAGGCGATCCGCGGGGTGGAAGTGGAGGATGAGGGTTGTGGACTATTTATAGGACGGATGAGACAATGAACTCAAAGTGGAGGTGTGGGGGAGGGTTGAGTTTCTTGTTTATTTCAGATAGCTATCGGGTGGGAAGGAGATACGAGAGGTGCGTGCACGTGTAAACATGTCAGTAAACCCATTGCACCTGCTCGGGTTCAGTCCTGTGATCTCCTCCTTGCCAGGGGCCCTTTCGACACTTCACGTGGCCTTAATGTGCACCTGGCCTGTTTGGGGAGTGGTGGCACAGCGGTTACCGCGCTTAGCCCTAGCAAGCTGGTAGAGACCCCCCCACTCCCCACCGGGTTTTCGATTCCTGCTGACGGCTGACGCCAGTGACGATTATCTGAACCGGTCCTGGCCCCCCCCCCCCCCTGGGTCGACTCAGCCTCAAATTAGTACCTGATATGGTGTGTAGTAAACATCGTCAAAGGGGAGACAAAGGGGGCTCCGGGCAGGCGCGGTGCTGGCACCCCACCCCATCGTGAGCAGTTCTGGCCTTCATTAGGTGCATTCTTAAAGCAGTTGCTCCAACAGTATCCGAAGGCTACACGGGATGTGGGGGGAGGGGTCTTTGTCTTGTAATTCTGTGGTGAGCAGTGACATGGGTGGAGGACCAATTTCAATTGGCCTTCCCCTCATGACGTTTGTAGCCACCACAGCGGCCAAATGGGGCTCTGGACGGGTGTGAGGGGCTGATAACCCCCCCCCCCCCCCCTTCAACGAAAGTACTGCTAAACTACGTGGAAAAAAAATAACTAAGCTTGTGCCGGAGGCTCCAAGGGGACAGGCATCTATGACGTCTTCTGGCCAAAGCCTATTTGGTGGAGCCAGGAGACTGAACCTGCACCCTCGGGGTTCCTCCAGAAAGAGCATAAAGCCACTGAGAGTGGCCACGTGGAATGTTCGAATGCTCACTGTGGAGGAGAGGCTGCCACTCCTCTGTCGGGAGCTGGACCGACCGCGACCGAATGGATCTCTGCGGTATTCAAGTCTAGCGGACAAGGTCTGGCTCCAGTCACCATGAGGGGTGAACAGTCCTCTACTCGGGGCAGGAGACTGCCAAACAAAAGGGAGTGGCTCTTCTGAACAAAATAACGAAGGGGGCATGGGAGCGTGGCATTGAGGTGTGGGAAGCTGTTCACCCTAGGCCACTGTTGGCTCAACCAGAGGTGAGCAGTGGGGGTAGTGGTTAGTTATGCCCCCACCGAAGATGAACATCAGTGGAGGGAAGGCAGGCAAGGCTGATAAGTCAGATGCTGTCGAATACCTCTTGTCACAGGTGTTAGATAAAGTGGCCCCTCGGGATAGAATCATTATGTTGGGCGACTTTAATGCCCAAGTGGGCCATGATGCTGGAACTAGACTGGAGTGATTGCAAGGCATGGGCCAGATCAGCTCAATAAGAATGGTAGGAGGCTGCTAGACTTGTGCAGCCCATGGGCTTGCAATTACCAACAGGCCGTTCCGGCATCGGCACATCCACACAACATCATGGATGCACGTCAGGCCCAAGCAAGAACTGGACTATATATAATGATGGAAGAGCAGATGTAGGCCCATGTCTTTAACACCAGGCCCTACCGTGTAGCTGATCTTCTCACTGACCATTGGCTTGTAATTTGCAAGATGCACCTGCCATTATTTTACTCCGGTGGTGGGTGTACATCTAGGACCCCATTCAAACCCAGTGGCCTGGTCTCAGATAGCTGATGAAAGTTGCAAGCGAGAATTGCATCATTGCTTGCAGCTGGGGTTGGCATCGTTCCCCTCTCCTGATGCCTAGGGGAAATGAGTGAGGTTTAGGACAGCAGCTCATGCAGCTGCAATGGCTGCTTTGGGTTTACGGTCCGAATCTCCCCCAAGACCCTGGTTGATAGAGCAGGTGTTCCAACTGGCTGGGAAAAAGCGACAAGCCCACTGCCACCTTCTACAACATACTACATCAGAGAATGAGGAGGCTTACCACAGCGATTGCTCGGAGGTTCACAGAGCCGTGCAGCACTGCAAGGATGGGTGGTGGTCGCGGGCTGCTGAGGAGTTGAAATCTGCTTCATTAGCTTTTGATCACAAATCACTCGTTGACTCCATCAAAAAAGTAACTTGTAGTGTCACACCTATCACCATCATTAGGGGAAATAAAGGTAATCCGATCTTTGACCCCCAGGAACAGGTTTTCAGATTTCTGTGAGGTCTTGGGGGAGGGGAAATCCCTCAGCCTCAAAAACATCATGGGGAAAAGTGGGGTGACTTTGCTGAAGCTGCGGTGCCTCAAATATTGGAAGAAGTCACCTCCTGTGAGTAGCTGGCTGAGGTGCCATCTGTTGAGGAAGTACAGAAGGCGATCCAGAGTCTGAGACCAGGGAAAGCGCCGGGCAGAGATGATCTCCCAAGTGAAATGCTGAGGGAGGGTGGCGTTTGTGTGCAGACTGCCCTATATGACATCATAACAGTCTGGGCCACTGAACTGGTTCTGTAGGATTGGAGGGATGCCTTGGTCGCTCTCTCTCGGCTTCTCCGTCTCACTCCGACTGTCTCTCTCTCTCTGTCTCTCTCCCCCCGACTCTCCTCTCCACTTCGCCTGTCTCGGCTTCGACTGTCTCGCTCTCTCTCGGCTTCTCCGTCTCACTCCGACTGTCTCTCCCTCTCGTGTCTTCTCTGTTCCCGTTCCACTGCTAGCCTATCCCATCTCTCATCTCTTCTTCTCCTGCTCCCCTGCTAACATATTCTATCTCTCATCTCTTCTTCTTCTCCTGCTCCCCTGCTAACATATTCTATCTCTTATATCTTTTTCTTCGCCATCTCCACTGTTAACCTATTCTTCTTCTTCTTCTCTCCGACTGTCTCCGTCCAGCTCCCAGCACAACTCCCCGTCCTCATGAATTACCAATTAATTAACCGGCGTCCCCACCGACGCCCCGCGCCCGCGGCCCCGCCGCCACTTGCTCCCATCCCCAGACTTGCTGGCGCCACCTTGTCCCTGACAACAACAACCGGCCCATCACTGCCCTGCATCCCATAATCACCTAACGAGCCGTCTCTCTCTGGCGGTTATCCCCCAGCAACACCTGCTTGCCCTGATGCGACTCCACTGTTCATAACCCACACGTGTTTACAATTTCCCCCCTTGGCGCGCGTTAATCCACTACAGATATAATGGAAGGCTTATCAAGGGATGGCTCCCTATTGGTCAACCATGTTATGTATGCTGATCATCTGGTTATTGCTGCTCACTCAGTGGAGGAGTTGGAGGCACTGCTGCTGAACTTGGAGTGTGCCACTAAGATGTGGGGCCTTACCATCAGCCCAACTAAAACCAAGCACATCCCTGGAAATTTTGTACAATCAGACACTCTACCCCCTCAATTCCCCATTGGCGATGGGGTAAATGTGGAGAAAGTGTAGAGTTTTCTATACCTGGGCAGTGTGCTCATGACTGGCTCCACTTTGACAGCAGCGGTCTCACTCCCAATCAATCGAGTTGCATTATATTTTCATTGGCTGCATAACGCTGTGTAATAGCTACCGGGTCTGTCACTCCACACAAAGCTTCGGGTCTCCGCGGCCACGGTCATGCCCTCCCATCTCTATCCTTGTGAAACGTGGACCCCGTAATGGAACATCTTCGCCAGTTAGAAACATTTAAGCTGACCTGCCTATGATCCATCCTGGGTTTAAATAGGCTGGATTGGGTGAGGAGTTCACAAATCCTTGAAAGATCTGGACAAAGTCCCATCGGTAAGTTCCTCCGGCAGGCAAGGCTGCATTGGCTGGATCATGTAGCCCACATGCCCAGATACCGCATGCCTAAATAGCTTTTGTTCGGCAAGATAGAGGGGAATAAACAGGCGTGGTACGGATTGGTGAAGAGATGGAGTGATGTGGTACAAGAGAATGTGGAGCTGAGTGGATTTGCTGATGACTGGTACCAGCGGTGTCAAGAACGGACTCTGTGGAGGAGGCTCGTGAAGGACGCTACTGGGTAGATGGAGGCAGTTGCCCTCCAGCAACAACGGAGGGTAGAGGAGCAACGCTCATAACAACCAGCGGAGCGTCGGGCGGCTAAAACACAGCAAGTTTGGCACAATAGGGGTCACAGGTGATGCATTAGCCAATCATCTCAGTCAATTAACCATGGCACCTGGATCTGTCCCGTGACCTCCTGTCAGCGGGCATTTTACACTTCACGTGGCCTTAACGTGCACATGGCCTGGCATAAGCGCCGTGTTATTGTGTATACATACAGTGGAGAGCGGTGGCATAGTGGTTAGCACGATGCACTACGATCCTGGCGACCCGAGTTCGCTTCTCACTCACGGCCAACACCAATGACGGTTATTTGAACTGCTTCTGGGCCTCCCCTAGGTCGACTTAACTTTAAATGAGTACCTGCTGCAGTTTGTAAACGACGCCACTGGGGAGACTACCCAACTTCTCGCGTGCCGGTCCTCATAGGTGCTGCTACTCGCTAACAACATCTGCCCTAACCATCTGTTAAGGCTATACGGGGGAATATTTGTCATTGTGTACACGCACATATTTAGATGAATGGCGAAATTTTAGAGATACACACAGGGCACAATTGTGGCATTGTTACAAGAGCGTGTTGAGTGGCCGGTTACAGAGAGGGAGGTGTGGGGTCGGTTGTCCTGTGGACGGGGCTCTGGAGGCAGGGCCGTCCATAGGTGGGGGTGCAGGGCCCGGGACCCCCCCCCACCAAAGCGTGGGGCCCGGGCGGTCGCCTCCATTCGCCGTTGCCCTGGAAGGGAGAAGTCGTGGACGGCAAGAGATTGATACCGGGGGGCCTCATTCACACGGCCGTCGTCTCCCTCTGTCCGCGTGAACGGTTCGTAGTGCTGCCCAACAAAATCTAAATCTGTATTTATACTGCAGGAGGAATCCGATGAGCTATAAAGCTATTTTTCATAGATGTCCAATAGGGGCGGGTAAGGACGTTATAACATAACACAGTACACAAACACGATAATAGTTCAAAGTACAAGAAAGGTAAACAAATCACCCAAACAAATACAAATAAAACGAACAGGACCCTGCGGGGTGGGCTGGTAGGAATAATACTTAGTACCGGTACAGAGATATCGACCAGGTATAGAGGAGTTAAAGAAAAAAATACTGTATTCTAGTGTAACGTTAATTAAAAGTTTTGACAAGAAACGCTGTGAGATTTAAAGACTCGTAGTCTTTCATTTCCAACACCACCCTCAACACCACCCCTCCCACGGACGGACGGACGGACGGACACATTAATCTATTGGTGGTCTGGTCCACTTCGTTCCTACCAGTAAAACATCTCCATCCTACCGGGAAAA